AGTCTTACAGTGGACTTGCTCAATATGCTCTCCACATTTTTTAAATGACTCTTTTGTGTCCACATTGCTGCCAAACTCACTTGTTTAAGTCCTTAATTTCAGTATTTTCCTATTTGGACCTTTTCCAGATGTGCTACATCACTTTTACAGTTTCTTCCTTGCAGGTGTTTTCAAGCCTATCTTTTATTTTTATTATCAGAATAAGCACTGTGCTTTAAATAATCAGTGTTTGATAATTCTAGTATCTGAAAACTTTATCATCTGTTTTTGCTATCTGTTATTTTCTCCTAGTCTCACTCTCTTGCTCTGTCTCCTCACATGCTTGATTATATTTGACTGTGTGGTGATCACTGCCCTTGAAAAACCATTCCCGAGGATTTCCCGGGGTTGAGAAAGAAGGGGCCTTCCTCCAGAGAGGATCTGCATTGGCCTCTGCTGTCTACCTTGGAGTATCAGCCATTCCAGAAGCATTTTACACTAGGGATGCCTTGGACGACACATTTATGCAAATCTGGACTGACAATCCTTGTGAAAATCCCCACCATGGTCAGACTGTCTCAAAGACGGGTTTGCTTTGTTTTCCTTTTATCCTCTGCTCTGCTCAGCACCAAGACCAATCTCCCACCCTACGCCGGGGTGGGGAGGGGGAAAGCAGTCTTTCCTCAGCTTTATGTTCACTGCGAGGGTGCATCCCTGGAGGAGGGCGGTCCCAGCTAAACATGGCGAGGCTGTCCTTTCATCTCCCGACCAGAGGCATATCTGTTTCTCACTCCACAAGCTAGTAAAACTTCACTCGATTTTTCTGGATTTGGCTTTAAGTTTCTCTTCCTTTCCCACAAAGCTATCAAAGCCTCAACTTAATTTTCTCAGAATTTGGCCTCAGACAAAAGTAGATTGCTGTGCCTTGCTTTATTTTTCTGGGTTCCTGCTTTTTCCTAGCTTTCGACTTGGAAATATCATTAACAACATTCACTAATTTCTCATTTTCAAAATAAACACTAAAATATTCAAAAGCAGGGACTCGGACAGATATTTGTATACCCCTGTTCATAGCAGTGTTATTCACAGCCAAAAGGTAGAAACAACCCAAATGTTCATCCAAGGATCAATGGATAAACAAACGTGATCTGTACACCAACAGAATATTATTCAATCTCATAAAGGAAGCGAATGTCGATACACACTACAATATGGGTGAACCTTGATGACATTATGCTCAGTGAAAGAAGCCAGTCATAAAAGGACAAATACTGTATGATTTCACTTGTATTAGGCACCTAAGTAGTCAAATTTACAGAGACAGAAAGCAGAATGGCAGTACCAAAGACTGGGAAGAAGAGAGAATGAGGAGCTACTGTTTAATGGGTATGGACTTTCAGTTTAGGAAGATGGAAAAAGTTCTGGAGATGGATGATGGGGACTGTTCCACAAAAATGTGAATGTATTCAATGCCAGAAGACTTAAAAATGGTTAAAATACTAAATTTTATGTTATGTACATTTTACCAGAATTTTAAAAATTCTTATTCAAATGATGAAATTTCTTACCTTCACATTTACTTAAATACATAAGATGAACAATATTGATATGTTTAATGGGGATATCTTCAGAAAGTGCTTTGTGGTTAAGTGTCAAGTTTGAATAACATTAAACAGACTACACCCTTACTCTTGAAAAGCTTTGAGTCTGAAAGATGTTTTCTTCATGTATAATTAGATGTGAAGAAAAAAATAACAATATTTGAAAAACAACAAGACACGAGAAATAAAACTAGGCTTCATTTGACATTTTATTCTCAGGGTCAAAAGGCTTAGAAATAGATAAATTTCACATTGCTCCAACACAGATAGCTTTAAATCAAAGCTTTATATATATTACTATAATATAAAATTGTGTCTCCAATTAATTTTCAAAATCTATGGTAATCTCAAATGTAATGTACAATAATCTGTTAAATTTATAAAATTTCACTACACATTTATTTTATAAAAAGTTCAATGAGAGAATACTTTTAAATTAAATTCTTAACTAGTTTTACAAGTATCAATTAAGTACTTTTCACAATATAGTTAAGGGAGTTAAAAAAAACAACTTAGAAACCACATAACATCCTTCTCCAGGGGTGGGCTGCTCATGCTACAAAAACAGGAGAGAGGAGGGAAATGAAGGGAAAGGGGCAATATTGTACTTGCCAATGTCTATTCAAACCTTTACTTAACTCCTCCAGCATCCTTTCCCACTCTTAACTTGGCTACAGTCACTTTCTAAACAACTGCATCTACACCCATCTCAATCTCTTTTGTGCCACTCTCAAAGAACCAGTGTATCTTCTCCTGTCATAACATCCCTCCATAACTTTATAATATGTATTTCTACCTTTCTCATTTCTGGCTCTTTCCCTTCCCTTTGTTCTAGCAAAGATGCTTGTATTTCTCCCATCTTAAAAACAAAAATACCTTCCTTGACCTTGTACATCCATTTTATTATAGCTTTTACAATCAGCAGCCTTCAAAGTATAATCTTGACAGTTTCTCTTCTTCCTCTTCAGTTCTCTTACCACCCTGCTCTCATCTTTCTCTCTCCATCACACCATGACACTGCTCTTGCTAAGGTCTCAATTTATAACCGACAAAACCAAGAGATATTTCTCAGTACCTCTCTTTGGCATCTGACACATCAAGCACATACACTCAAAATTTTCTACTTGTCCTTCAGATTTACTACTCTTTTATCTGCAACATATTCCAGTTTCTATGTTCCTGGTTAAACAGATTTGTATATTATGTTATCTATTATCATAAATACAATTTTTACAAAAATTTTAAAGAGATCATGAGTATCCCCCATATCTTTTGTTTCACCTAGCAGTTTGCTGGCTATGCGGTAACAAAACATTTAAAAAGAGTTATTAAAGATAAACTATACATTTTAAACAAAAACTCTAATATTCTAAATTTGCTGTTCTCTTTGATGAAAGGTAGCTGTATTACATTTTCTAGAAAATGTTAGAGAATAAATACAATCTTTCCTTCAAAGGAAATATAATGTTTTGGCAACAAATGTGAAAATAAATGCTTTTTGAAAGAAACTCATGTTATGTACAAAGTATTTTGAAAAAATGTTAATTGTTGCCAAAAATAAATAAAATAATTAGTAAAAATAAAATTAATTAAAACGTTACATATCAACACACTTCAAAAAGGTGGAGAACAAATTTTTATTTGCTTTTAAATCTATCAAACAAAGAATTTTAGTCGGTTTTGAACCTGCTACAAACTTTCAAAAACAAACCTGCCAATTAGTTTGTAGGAATAACTACTTGACATTAGGAAAAATGGTAATTACTAGCTGATTTCAAGAAGAACCTCTGAACTATTGGTAGACAGAACTGAAAAAGTACCAAGATTTAGTAAACACAGCCAACATTACATTCCTTTCCTTTGGATCTATGTATCTTTATGAGGCATCTTTTTCAACTATGACAGCTATTAAAAGCAAATATTCAAACAACTGGACACAACTGCATTATTATATGATATTTTAAATAATTGCATGTTTCACCTACTAGACTGTGAGTTATTAGGCAGAGACTCTGTCGTCTTCATCTTTGTATCCCTAGGACTTTTACTGTATGGCACACAGCAGATAGTCATGCAATAAATATTTAGTGAATGAATGCCCCAAAATACAAGCAAGTGTATTAAAATGAAAGCATGTACACACACACGTAAGTATATGGGTACTAGTGTAATCCCTGGTTAGGTAGACAAAACATTACCAAAATGGGTGTAACCCAAAATCACATGCTCACACACCAATTCGATGGTGTTTAATGGCTCAACTTGTAATTATGGCTTTCTTAATTAGGGTATGTTCTCACACATGAAGATATCATAGCTGTCCTATACAACGTGTGAAAATCTTTACTTTCAAAGTGAATCATCAGTGATACAAGGAATGAATATAAAGTCAACAAAAAGTAAAGCAAAGCCAACAGAACTGTTTCCATAACAAATAATGGATAAATGACCCAGGACAAATAAAACTGTAAAAGTATTAAAAATTAGACTTTCAAAATAACAAATTAGAAATAAAAATTGAATAACAGCATTTTTATTTTAAGACATTTTATATTCACTAATCTCATTAAGAATGTGCTGGCTACTTAGCACGACTTTCACCATGGTATAAATTTTCCTTTCATGCAGTGTTAACAAGTTTTTTAATAATAAATCATGTAAGTATTAATATAAATACTTCTCAATACTAAATTACACTTAGTCCTCGATGGTAGTTAAAGCAAAGAAGCTCACACTACAATTTTATTGGAAAAAAATTGGATGCACACACAAAATGATATTCTATTGGTATCTTTAATTCTAATTGCATCTTTAAAAGAAGAGATTCAAAGAGAAAAGTAAACAAAACAAATGCTTTTCTAAAAAAGAATGAGGATGCATTACATATATATAGTAGCTGATATAACATAATAAATTGCTAATGATTGTAGGAATTATTACATTATTTACACTCAGAAAACAAATCTACCTTATAAAACCTGAGACACAAAATGATTGAGTAAAACTTAAGCTGAATTTTATGGATGATATTCACCAATCCTCTGTGCCCAAAGTATACGTAGGTCTTTCTTTTTCAAATGCATTGCAAGGGCAGTTTGGAGCTAAAGAATATAAAATGTACAGAATGGAAGGTATACTAAACAAGGCAGTAATTCTATAGCAAATGGTATCACTGTTTTTCCTTTTAGAAACATGATAAAACTTTCTGGAAAGCTTTCTACCTCATTCTCAGGTTTATAGTTACTTAATTATATAAGTTTGATGTTATCTAAAAATGCATCCATGGTCTACTGATTGTACTCTAATAGCACTTAAGTAAGAAGAAAAAACCAGCTATAATACTTAAAAAAAATCAAAACAAAATAAAAATAAAATAAGCAAAGCCAAATTTGGAAACAAAACTATCCCACGGGTACCTACCTCCTGGAAACACCATTAGCCATACATTTATGGTTACAGGATTTGGAGGAGAGGGGTGATGAAGTTGGGGACAAGTTGAGAGGTGCAATCAAACTGTTGATGATCTCAGTCAACTGTGCACTCTGCAAGAAAACAGTCAAGCTTTTACTCCTGCTAAGCAAGAAATGTAAGTTACATCTCAGGTCTTTAGTTCATATTAAATGCTTAACTTCTCATGAAACAAGCAACTGTTTATATTTTGGTAGATATTTTAATCTACAAAGACAATTTACACCACTACTGATTTTTCCACTTATAGTAAAGTGACATTTTAAAGTACCCCTTTTTCAGATCCTTTCTTGTTACAGTTCCTTTAATCTAGTCATCTCAGTCTTTAAAACATTTGAACTCAGCTAATAGCATCTACATAATATTTTCTTTGAGGCAGCCAAATTAATAATAACAAAATCATAGCTATAATTTATGCTGTGCCAGGCACTATACTAGGCACTAAACAAAGACCATTTCTAATCTTTACAACTAATCTGCAAAGTAGATAATATTAGAGCTACTGATATTACTATTATTAAAATCAATTACAGATGAGGAAACTGAAGCAAAGAAAGATTAGGCAGCTTGATCAAGGATTATAAAGTTGGGTAAGAAATGGATTTAGGATTCAAATTCAGGTGCTAGACTGTTTCTCAGTATTTTTTCTAATTCAAAAATATCAGTTTCTTTAGGTACCCAAAATTTTCATTGACCCTTAGCCCAAACTTAAGTATTTGTAATATATAATAAATATGAAATTATTCTCAAAAAATCAGCTACAATAACTATAATAAACACAGGCTATGTCAATGGAAAGTACAGTTCTACAAAAGAATGACAACTATTTTCATTACACATGTAATCCATGTTCATTGGAGAAAAAAGGGAAAGCATAGAAAGGTTTAGAAAAGGAAAAGAAAATCACCTATAATCATATTTCACAGAGAAAACCACTGCTCATATCTTGGTATATATTCATCCCTAAAGACTAAATTTTTTGAGTATATCTAAGTATGAATGTATACATAACATGTGTGTGTACTCAAACACACACAAACCCTTTTCATTGTCATGCCACATCAATTTTCTAAAACCTGGTTTTCTCACTTAATATAGTGTGATAATATTTTAAAAAATATATAGACCTATTTCACCATGTTTATTAACTGCAGGGAATTCTATTATAAAATAGAAGGGTATATGAAATGATTATCTTGAATCTAATATGTTACTAGAAAAAATGAGACTAAAGAATATGATAGAACTAAATACAATATTTGAATTCTTCAAAAAGTTTTTCATGAAAAAGACTGAAATGTTTTATCTTTTTGAAAAATAATATGTACCTAATGATTTATTTTAAAAATTATTACTCATTTTTAGATTAAAGCTCATTTTCAAAATCACTAATAAAAAGATTCTTTATCCATTTAACAAGTATTCATTAGTTTAGTCATACAAATAAATTTATAGAGTATGTCATATTTTCCAGTCTGCAACACTGAGACACTCTTCTCATTTTTCTACCTCCAAAAATACCATGTAAAATTTTCTAAGCCACTGGAGGACGCTGGTCAGGTATGTGTGAATAATTAGCCCAGAAGGACAGCATCATTACCAACCCCTAGCTTTACCCTAACAAATACCCCACCCCAGCCCAATAAAATCTCATATATTTGAGTCCATATCTGGGATATGAAATTCACAGTAAAAATGAGAATAAAATTAAAACTGGGAGAGGCATAATTTGAACTCTGAAAACAAAACTATCAGCTTTAAAATCAAAACATTTACTAGCTATTGATAAGTTTTCTAATGTAAATACACCAGTGTGAAATTGATTTTTTTTTTTTTTAAGATTTTTATTTTTTTCCTTTTTCTCCCCAAAGCCCCCCGGGTACATAGTTGTATATTCTTCGTCGTGGGTCCTTCTAGTTGTGGCATGTGGGATGCTGCCTCAGCGTGGTTTGATGAGCAGTGCCATGTCCATGCCCAGGATTCGAACCAACGAAACACTGGGCTGCCTGCAGCACAGCGCGCAAACTTAACCACTCGGCCACGGGGCCAGCCCCTGAAATTGATTTTAAATTACCTGAAGTTCTAAAATAAAATCATCATTCAATTTATGAAGAAACTATATTATCTAAAATGCAACTATGCATTAATACTACAAATGAACGTTATTTTTAAAAACTGATAGTCTGCAACTCAATAGTGCCTTTACATTTTAGCTGGCAACTCTTTAGTTGCTTTTGAGATACATAAATAAATTTCGTTAGGTAAGCAAAACATTCCTCCAACAAAATTAATTTAATCAGGTCAAAGGATTATCTTATCTATATTCAAGTTCCACTAAGGCCAGTGAACAGTTAGACATCAATAGATTAATCTCAAGAATAGTATGTGTGATATCAGGCTTGCCACCTCTGCTACTTAACTCACTCCTGGACTTTCTTCTTCAATAAGTATTTGAAAGCAACTTATTTTTTTTTTAATTGGCCTATAAAAACATTATTAGCATACGTTTCAATAGCAAATGACCTATTCACGGGCAATTTATTAATGATCTCTACAAGTGACGGGTGCTGCCCCTTTCTGCACCCTTTCCCTCCACTCTCCCTACATCCAGAGCCATTACTATTGTTCTCACAACTCTTGGTTCTCTTCCCTACCAAAGCCTCTGGCACTCCTGTCAGCAGTGGGACCTAAAACGAACACGATACCCAGGGCCAACTTCATGGGTGAGCAACCTGGGCAGTTGCACAGGGCTGCGCCCAGAATGCTACACTGTCACTGAGTTAAAACTCTTAAAAATTGTCTTTAACAAAGGGCTATTTAATTTAACTTTGCCCCGAGCCCCACAAATTAGGCAGTTCTAGTATTAACTCAGGTCTAATCAAAGAAATTGGTGCAAGAAGAAACAAAAAATATGAGAAATCTCTTTCCAAAGGATTAGAGACCTACAGGTAAAGAAAGTGAAGATTTGATTGACGAAGCAAATACATTATTCTGGAGCGTGAAACAACTAGGGTCAAACTGAAAGGGTATTGATCCTATGAGATGAGAAGGGGGAAAACAAAAGAGAGAAGTGGGAAGATAACCAGCCCATTCAAAACACCACTCATCTGGGAAAGTGCATTCCAATTTTACATCAGATGATTACAAAATAAGTTTCTGAATTAAAAAATATTCAGAGGAGTTGGATTACGCATTCCAATTAAGGAAAATTCTAGGCAATTGTAAATTTAAGAAATATGGGGTAAGAGGAGTTATATCATATTCCAACTTATTAGGAATAAGACAGTAGTAATGTGGTACTAAATTATATCACAATGTATGTCAGAAAAACTCAGCAAAATTAGATGTGAGCCTGCATGAATCCATATTACCCAGTGGAACAATATAATCATGCAGCTGTGGTCCCAATTGGGTATATTCCAGCAGATTCAGTCTGGTTGCAAGTCAACAAACTTCTAGAAAGCCACGTTTGTTCAAGAGCCACCAAAGTCTAAATCAAAATAAATGGTTTGATTTCAAAGGATAGACACAGGACAGAAGAATTAAACTTCCAGAGTTATCTATAATAGGATTTAAATGCCAGGGAAGGCTTTGGAATCAAAGTAATTTTTTAGGGCTTATTCAACTTTCCAATTACACAGTCATCTTTTATGAAAGAATTCATATTCTAGTATCATCTTTCACTAAAAATCTCTATCAATAAATTAATCAAACAACCATTCAGATTTATGAAGTGGTACCACTGTTTTTTCCCCATGAAAAAAGTTCAATGATGAACAATTTTATTAGAAAAAAGGTTTTCCAACCCTGGTATAAATGAGTTCTAAGCCTATGGCTGTGTACCAATACTTTACAAATTATATTAAAATAATCTTAATGAAATCAATATTATAACAGACATTAGTTATATACTAAATATTTTAACTGTATTTAATGCCAAATAAGCAACTTTAATAATCAATATCTAAAGCAGACACACATGTTTATTTGAATAGTTTATAAAATCGATTAAAAGTCATGGGGCCAGCGTGGTGGTGTAGTGGTTAAGTTCACACACTCTGCTTCAGAGGCCTGGGGTTTGCAGTTTCAGATCCCAGGCACGGACCTACACATCACTCATCAAGCCATTCTGTGGCAGTGTCCCACATACAAAATAGAGGAAAATTGCCATGGATGTTAGCTCAGGGCCAATCTTCCTCACCAGAAAAAATAAAAAGTCATTTCATGCCACTCACATCTTACTCTTACTTCATATTACCTGTTTTTCTATGTTGCGAAGAAGTAGTGTAGGGCTACTTGGTGACATTTCAAAATCTTGTTCTGGTAAAGGATCTTGACTCTCTTGGGGAATGTGGGGAGTCCCTGTAGTGTTTAATGAAGCTGCTTGGTCTGCAAATTGTATTTGTTTTTTCAAAACGTCTTTTGGAAGGTGACATTCTTCTAGGATCACTATCCCCTAGGCAAAGAGCAATTAAAGAGTTGAAATGAAAACAAAGTGACTGCTAAATCAACTGTAATATTACAGTGCACTTGAAACCATGCTTCCTCTTATCCCTCAGAAATCAGAAAATATACACTGAAAGTACAGTTTAACTCTATAAAAAATTGGCTGATCTAAAACACGTGCAGCTAAAATAACACGTACGTCTGATGGATTAGGCTTATAAAATACTGTTACAAATTATATAGCTACAGTTACTTTTCTTTGTATTTGTTTTAGTCATTAGCATTAAAAGTATGACACATTTAGAATAAAGTTAAAGGCTTAAATGCAAACTATGAACATTTCAGACTGAAATTGGAACACTTTCTGATATAATCTTCCCATATTTTGGTCATGAGCATTTCCATTTGAGTTTTTTATTTGAGCACCTCTGGTTTCACAGAGTAAAATACCAAACTTACAACATCACACAACAATCTAATATTACATCCATGCCTTTCCGAGCCCTCTGCGGAGCCCCAGCCCGCTTGCTCCAGCCAGCAACATGGGCAAGACGGCACCACTGAGAACAAGTACCCTCCAGGCCAAAGTCCTTGTCGTTTACAGGGTAGATGAGGTTACTAACAAAGACACAAGTTTCCAACTTGGATGGGGTATTTTCTGAAATGAAAGTAATTGGAGGAATGAGTAGAGATCTAGCTGCTGACCATTCACACACACACACACACACACACACACACATTCCTCAACTGGCTCCCATCTCCCCAGCTTCTTCACTCCAACTGTTCTCACCCTTAGGTCCCTCAGAGACAACGAAGACAGAGAGAAAGGTGGAAAAGGAGTGCACACATATGATCTGAATGGTTTCATAGTCAGTTCTCACCACAAAAATTCTTCCCTTCCTACCCCTTCTACAACACTTCCTCCTGGAAATAATAATATATATTATTATTTATATATATTATATATTATTATATTAATATAACAACATATGTTATTATAAAATATATGTTATGTGTGTGTGTATAAACACACACACACTTTTTTTTTTTTGCAGAATGCCAGTAAGCTCCTATAGGCTAGTTCGAAACATAGTAAACGCCCATGTGGCTGAAATATTATATTCTTGTAACAAAAAATAGATTAAAACAATCTAACTGTACAGTATTCAAGATGGAACAAATTAAATGACTGCTGTGGGCCAGCTGATATCATGTGTAAGTGCTATTTATAGAATGGAAAGTGCTATAAATTATAATGTTATATATGAGTAATTTTAGTTTATACTATAATTTAGAGGATATATCACTTTAGAATGAACATATTCAGGTATGATACTAAACATACACTTTATTATTTTGTAGTAATATATTACCACTGAGCTTAGTAAAAGCAATAAATAATAAAAATTATTAATTTTTTTGCTGAGCAAGATTAGCCCTGAGCTAACATCAATGCCAATCTGCCTCTATAATTATTTTTTTTAACCTACACTTATAACAGTGCTGTTAACTTTTATAAAGAGAAGGGGAGCCAATTGTTAATCCCATCTCAATAACTATTTTCCTAGAATGCACAAATATGGCTGTCAAGAAATCTGAAGAAATGTATTTAAAAGAAGTTTTTGTTTCACTTGATATTTTAAAAATTAAATTAGACCTGATAGATATATACCATCAATACAGCTCTTGAAAGTATCTGAAACATCCATTCAAAATTTGTACAAGTCTCTCACTAGGTTTTCACAAGTATCTGCATACATACAAGTTCTCACCCTATCAGTATAACTATAATTCCCTTTGGTTTGATTACAATTTACATTATGGGCCAGGCTGCTGTGAATTAGCCTGGTTTCATAACCCCTACTTATAATATTGTTTCTACGGGAAGACTGATTCTGAATTTCAAAAGCCCAATTTCCAAACCTTCAGAATACTACCTTTTACAAGTAGGGAGCCTACTGCAGTTAATTCAATGAAGAATGGTATTTTTAAAATTCAACCAGGGAGACATTCATAGTCAACTTCATAATCTATTTTTTTTCCCTTAAACTGTTGCCCTGGACAAAACTCTCACAGTGATTTTTCTCTGCCATAGCCGAGACCAGAAAAGAAAAGGAAACAGATTCAATCCTCTGGAAACACTGCAGAGATCATTTCTGCTCTGAAACGTCAGGAGAAGAATATACATGTGTTGGGTCACTGTGATGTACACTTTAAATGTCTTACAATTTTGTTTGTCAATTACACCTCAATAAGGCTGATTTTTTTAAAAAATCAGGAAAAGAATAGTCTAATGATAGATAAAATAAGGCAAATAACAGAAATATGAAAATTTTTTAGAAAGATGAGTTCCAACAACTGAGACGAGTGAAAACTCTAGCATAAGACGAAAGTGAACTGGCTGCTCCAGAGAAGACACTGTTCCTGATGACAACCACAGACAGCCCCCCAACTCTCCAGGGTCACCAGAGAGAAGACGGGGTGTGAAAAAATCGACGACTACCTCAGCAACAGCTCTACTAACTATATATGGTCACTAAAGCTAATTTTAAGCACAAATTTAAATGAAAATGTTAAAATACAGAAAATGTATCATTTAAAAAACGTGGAAGACCCTATTACATAACAAAAGAAATCTAAAAGAGAAACCATTTAACATAGGATAGCCAGCCTCTCAAGCAAGGAAAACTATTCTACCTTTTTCTGAGAACGAGAAGCAGCTGTTGTCCTAGTGAAAGGTGAAGGAGAAAAGAGGCGAAACATCTAAGTTGTAAAGTGATGACAAGGCTGTTGCAAGAACAAGGAAGGGATGGAATGTGCTAATATCTGCTTTTTTCTCCTCCCTAAAAATTTAAGCAAAATTTAGACCACCCAGAGTGTGTCAAAGAAGGGGCAAATGACAATTTACAGACCTAAATTTTGCAGAGGGAATAGCAGATCTCCTCAGTGTGTGTCTCCTGACTAGTGGCACAAACTAGCACTGATTCAAACAGGGTATTTACAAAAGAGCATCTCTCAATCTCTTTCCCTTCCCCTTCTCTCTAATTTAATTGAAAAGAAAGGGTGTTTTCCTTTCATGACATGTTAAATAAAACGTTCTGTCTCACTCAAGAGAACATTAACCACTCTTCTCAATTTTTTAATTACAATAACTCAAGAAGCTATAAGAGCAAAGAAAGAGCTCCATTCCCTATTCAGTATAATAACAGCTCAACTAAAATGCACGTAAATAAGCAATTAAACATCTAGATTAAGTCCTTAAGAAATGTAAGGAGAAACTACCAAAATAGAGAAAATATTGTATTTTGATAGCATAATTGTAATGACGTTTCCCATAAAATAAACATAGTATGATTCTTAAGGGAACAATGGGCCAGATACGCATCTAGCCTGAACCAAGAAAAATGTAAGGCCATATATTACTGGGAAATTTAGATTTCTTTCCCTAAAATAATTTATTCCAATAGGTGTTACATAGACACATAATCAAACTTTTTAAAATGTTTAAACAACAACTATATGGTACTGCTTAGAACACACAGAATAATTTAAAATATCCTTTCTCAAGTCAAAGAAATATGACCAGACTGTCTAGATTCAAATATAAAACTTAGTCATCAATTTAACTAGGAACCCACTTTCTTGGAAATTTCCAAATTATTTTAAACTTGACTTGTTCTTAGAACTCTATTTGCTATAAAAACGCTTGCAATATATCCTTTAAAAAAATGCCAAAGAGGAGAAATTAGCTGGTGATCTTGAAAGGATTAGGAAATCACTACAGCTGAAGGCCCAGGTGAATAGAGAGTCAAAATGAGAAACAGAACTACAGTTATTGAATAGGAAACTTCCATCAGGAAACTATTCTTGAACATAGTTCCCTCAAATCCAACAGACAGAACAGGTAAGCCTAAGGTTTATGTCTATCCTTCTATATTCACCTCCTACGATGTCACCACCAAATTGCATAAGGCATTAAACAACATTCATCACTCCTTAGCTTCCTCTCCCATCCTTGCACAACTCATACTTTCTGCTCCTTTGAATACCATACTACTTTGACATTCCTAAAACAGATCATGTTGTTTCATGCCTTCAAACCTTTAAGGAATGCCCTTTCCCAGTTTTATCAGTTCATCAAGCAAACTACTATCTATCCTCCAAACTCATACTGAGGCATCCCCTCTTTACTGATGTTTCATCTGATAACTAACCCTAAGAGTTAAGTATTCTCACTATGCCACTTCTGTATCTTATTAAAAACATATATCACTGTGCATATTACATTATACTGCAATTAACAATTTAAATGGTCTATCTCCCCTAGCAGAATACAAACTAATGATAGACAGAGCCTAAAACTTACTAATCTTTATTGATGTGCAGACCCCAGTGGGGTTGGGCTCACCACATGGTTCAAGGGTTCTGATTCCTCCCCTTCTCAGCTTTTTCTTTTCAGACCAATCACCATCAACCCTACAATATTATCTCCATTATGTCCACAGTTTAACCATGTAGGATACAGTTTCCCACACACAAAAAAGTTACAAATAGATATTTAGCAATATTTAGATTAAATAAGACTTCATGGGATTGCATGAGAACTCATTATATTATTGCTTCTATGGGAAATATACTCTGAGTTCCAAGCAAACAGCTTATAATCTTTTGGAAACAAATATCGTTAAGCTAGAAAAATCTCATTTTAAATTTCCCCTGGTTGGAATTAAAACAGTATTTAGCAGTGTAATCATTTGCTTAACTTTTATCCCCATTAGACTGTAAACCCTAAAAATTTAAGAACGCTGTAGGTTTTGTTCACTACTGTATGCCCTAAGCACATATTAGGTACCTAATAACTATGTGTGAAAGGAAAGAAGAGAAAGAGTGACGGAGAGAAGGCAGGCAGGCAAAAAAACAAGGAAGGAAAGAGAGGTGAATGGATTTTATTTAAAAATTGCTACAATATAACAACATAGCTTTACCTGCCATTTCTACTGAAATAACTCCCAACCTACATCTTCTTATAAACCTGCCTTCTCTAATATCTCACATTCCCATCTCTTTCAGGACATCTCAACATGAATACCTGATAGAAGTTGTAAATCAATGTGTGAGAAAGTAAGCAAATTTTTATCGAATTTCCTATAAAACAAGCACTTTTCTCCTTTCCTGGAAACAGCAGGTCAAGGACTACGAGAGGAGATGGTGCTGATGGTTACACAACTATGTATTTGTCAAAATTCAGTGAATTGTACAGTTAAAAATGTGTATTCTGAGAACAAGATAAAGACAAATCCATAATTAGACACCTGTTAGTAGAAACATATAGAACATCAGGGGCTGGACGGGTGGTGTAGTGATTAAGTTCACATGCTCTGGTTTGCAGCCTGGGGTTTGCAGGTTCAGATCCCAGGCACAGACCTACACACCACTCATCAAGCCATGCTGTGGTGATCTCCCATATACAAAATAGACGAAGACTGGCACAAATGTTAGCTCAGGGAAAATCTTCCTCAAAAAGAGAAAAAACGTATCTAGAATATCAAATAAACAAGAAAAATTTAAAGTTGCCAGATAGAAAAGACAGAGTACTTACACAGGAAAAACAATTACATTGACAGTAGACTGCTCATCAGTATCAAAGACGACAATGACACAGGGTCTTTACAGGACTAAGGGAAGAAAACTATCAAATCAGAATTTTATATCAAATAAAATTATCATTGAAGAGTGAGGGTAAAATAAAGGTATTTTGAGACATACAAAGACAAAGAGAGTTCGTATTTTGAGACGTACAAAGACAGAGAGTTCAAATGTTTGGAGTTTAATGTCAAAACTACTAAAGAATGTACTTCAGCAGGAAGTAAACCAAGAGAGAAAAGGTAATACAGCAGAGTGCAAACACTTCCCAGTATCCATTTTCCTCTCCTTTTTACAACAAGACCCCAGCCCCACTGGAGTTTTAGTTCTGCATACACCTTCTCAGTGAGAGACTGTATTACTCAGCCTTCATTCCCCTCTGTCTAGTTGTAGCCGTGAGGGTGAATCTGGGCCAATGGAGTGTGAGACAACATAGTGCAACTTCCAAGTCACCTCAAAGACAAACCCTGCTGCACTTCTCTTCTCACTTCCCAAGGGCTGGAGTGAGGAGATGACGACACCCTGTCCAACAGTGCAGTCAGCACATCCTAGAGGACAGTGGAGCATCAAGATAGAAGGAACCTGAGTCCTTGAATGACCCTGTACAACCAAGTTGCTCCACCAGCCTGTACTCACCCCTCCCACTTTTGAAACGTTATGTACCTTTATAAAGCCACTATATTTGGGGGTTTCTTTGTTACAGAAGCTTAACCCACAACCTAATTTTATAGGTAGAACACAGAAGAATAGTAAGCCCATTTTTTTATGAAATCTGTTAGAAATGTAATTTATTGAGTGTAAAAAGAAAAAAACCTAGATTGGAGTAGATATATTCAATGAGTAGTTAAAAAGTATTAAGATCCATGTATTAAGTTAAAAAAAAAGTACAAAAATATAGAGTACTTTTAGTCATTGTTAGAATTACTTCTAGTTAAGGAAGTATGTTAAAAATTAAGAGTAATGACAAAGGATGAAACTATAATATATAGCTTCAAAACCAGCAGAGGAAAAAGAAAGAAATAAAACAAATTCTACCAATCCAACAAAAGAGAGGTGAAAAACAAGACACAAATACAAAGAGAGTAGAATAAGGGCAAATAAAAAATAAAGCTAATCAGAGTGGATTTTTCAAATCTAGCTATATGTACCTTATGAAAGAAACACCTAGAATAATCAAAAATTTACATCTACCAAACAGCATTACTTCAAAATGTAAGAAGCAAAAACTAACACAATTTCTAGAAGAAACTGAAAAATTCACAATGATGGGGGAAAATTTTAACAAATCTGTATCAGAAATTGAAAGATCTGGATGTATAAAGATATAGCAGGTATATACAACAAAGCTAACCAGTTTAATTTAATAAACAGAGAATTCTATAATCAACAAATAAAGACTATACATTCTTTTCTATTATATATTGAGCATTTACAAAATTTGATTAGTAGTTGATCACAAAAAATGAAATCCACACAAGCTAATTAGTTCACAGACTACAATGTACTTAAATGATAAATTAGAAAAAAAAAAGTTTCATGAGTTCAGAAATACAGAGATGTACTATTAAATAACTCTTGGATTAAAAAGACAATCACATTGGAAACCTAAAAATATTAAGAGCAGAACAACAATGAAAGAATTAAATACATGGTATATACTCAAAGTGATACTTGAGTATGAACTGAAAATAAGAGTTATAAGATCAAAAAGCTAAAACAGTAACAGCAGTAATGGTATGGTAAATCCAATGAAAATGAAACAAAAAATAAAAGAAGAAAAAATAACGAATTAGAAAACAGGGAAAAGGTAGATCAATGAAATAAAAAATTTGTTGTGGGATGAAAAGACTAAGAAAATAGACACAAAATTTTTGAAAAACAACATGGGGGACTTTCGTATTAAAAGCAAACTTATTATAAAGCTATATAATCAAGCTAGATATATAGATTAGTAAGTCCAGTAATGACTCATCCATATGTGGAAACTCAATACATGACTAAAGTTATTTTAAAGCAGAAAGTGAACTAAACAACATGCTACTGAACAAACAATGGATTATTGAAGAAATTAAAGAAGAAATCAAATATTATCTGGAGACAAATGAAAATGAAAACACGCCATACCAACACATTTGGGAAGCAGCAAAAGCAGTCCTAAGAGGGAAATTCATTGCAATACAGGCTCACCTCACTAAACAAGAAAAATCTCACATAAGCAACCTCAAACGACACCTAACAGAATTAGAAAAAGAAGAACAAACAAAGCTCAAAGTCAGTAGAAGGAGGGAAATAATAAAATTAGAGCAGAAATAAACAATATTGAAACAAAAAAGACAGTAGAAAGGATCAATGAAACAAAGAGTTGGTTCTTTGAAAAAATTAACAAAATTGACAAACCCTTAGCCAGACTAAGAAAAAAAGAGAGAAATCTCAAATAAATAAAATTAGAAATGAGAGAGGAGAAATCACAACGGATACCAAAGAAATACAAGGGATCATAAGAGAATACTATGAAAAACTATATGCCAATAAATCGAACAACCTAGAAGAAATGGACAAATTCCTAGACTCTTACAACCTCCCCAAACTGAATCAGGAAGAAATGGAGAATCTGAATAGACCAATCACAAGTAAAGAAATAGAAACGGTAATCAAAAACCTCCCCAAAAATAAGAGTCCAGGACCAGACGGGTTCTCTGGAGAATTCTACCAAACATTCAAAGAAGACTTAATACCTAAAGCAGAAAGTGAAGATGAACTACTATAATTTATAAAAAGGTGCTGGGCTGACTAGCCACATGGAAAGAGAAAGTTAGGTCATCACCTCACAACAAATACAGAACTAAGTATCAGAGGTAGGATTTCGTAAACAAGACAGAGAAAAACACAACCCATAAAGGAAAACATTAATCCATATAATTACATTGAAGTTAAAATCTCTGTGCAAAAATAGCTATGCTAAAAAATGAAAAGACAAGCTACAACATGAGGTTTGTACTACTTATAACTGACTATGAATAGTATCCAAAATTTAAAAAGAATTCACACACACACCACTACCACCACCCCAAAAAAAGAGTGAAAGAGATACGTTAATTCTTAGACAAAAACAATTTGACGGTCAATTACACTGAAGCCCAATCTCACTATATTCAGGAAGAATTAAATTAAAACAGTAATAAAATAGTATTTCACACCCATTATACTAGAAAAATGAAAAAGTCAGAAAATATAAAATGTCGGCAAGGATGTGGAGAAACAGGAGCACTGCCATACTGACCACGCAATCACATCAGTGAGTATAAGAAAACTGGAGACAGCCAGGCCTGAAATCCAGCATTTCCAATTTTAGCCATTTACCCAAGAGAAGCTCTCCACGGTTTCACAAAAAGACACGTAAAAGATAGTCACTGCATTCCTGTTTTTACTGACAGAAAAATTGAAACAATGTACATGTCTATCAATAGAAAAATAGGAGAAGAAATGAACATTCCATTGTATTCATACAATTCCATTTCATTCACACAATTAAATAACACACAGGAAGTATAAAAATGTAGATATGCTACATATACTCTATACATTTTACTTATTTTATTTAGTTCCTCTTTTCCACGTGGCTGGTCAGCCCAGCACCTTTCTATAAAGTACAGCAGCTCAGCTTCACCTTCTGCAGCATTATGTGAAGTACTATACAAGTACTTCAGCTGTACAGGACATGCTTTATTATTATTCTAAAAACTAAACCCAAACTAGGAAAAATTTAACATTCGATACATTTGGGGGTGGGTACACAGGTATTCACTGTATTGCTTTCTAGCAGTTTTATATGTGTTCATAATTTTTATTGAAGCAAAACAAAAAAACTCTAAGGAGATCCCAATAAGGTACACCCAGAATTCCACACATATGTTAAAATAAATGTCAAGAAAGTAGGGGTTTATAAAGATATATATATCATTTCTATTAACTGGAATTCAATAAAGAAGTTCTGAACTGCTAAAGTATGATAAAATGATCGTGATAAATACAAAGGCATTACAAAGATAGCTTCAACTTACAGCAATTAATATATCAAAAATCTTAACATTAACTACATTCGTATAAAGCCTTGTCACAACTATTTTGTGTGGAGAGCTGAGTAGAAACTAAAACAGTAATAACTTTTTTAAAAATAGAAGAACACAGACAATACCTTGGAGGCACGAATCTGCCTGTGAACATCCGTTAGCTGTTGGATTTTGTATTCTAGTTCGGAAATCTGGGCTTGAAGCCACGTCCATCGGCTGCCAACTCTTGCTCTGTCTACAAGCCACTTCCATTCAGTACTACAGTTACTGTGAACAAGACAAACGCCATTAGTCAAAGCACAAAGGCAATCAAGTTTTCAGAGACTGCTTAGTACCTTCCTTGACTCCTGTCATACAATCCCAAAGTCCTTTACAAAACACCTAATTACATGAAAGAAGAATGGCATATCAACTTCTTATAAACGAAAAAGATTTAATTTCTTTATGTTTCTGCCCCACAAACACCTGTTTTTATTCAACATCCAGTAGTAGGATAATCTCCTTTGCTACTTAATACTTTATTAATGCTCAAGGGCTGAAATAGGAGTGGGCCAGCAAAGGAAAGGAAACAAGAACGAAAATATTAACACCATGTAAACTGTTACAAAGCTTTTCACGTAAGCAGATGTCAAGTATCTGACAAGTCATTTGAACTGTGCTAGATTTAAATCCATGTTACAAACCAGAGTACTCAATTTTACTATATGTAATTTGTGTTGTTATAACAGGAATCACTATTACCTAATTAAATACTTAAAATAAATTTAAAGAAATTGTTCAACAATATGAATGCTCTGCTACTTTTCAAATAAGTGTAACAAATACATACGACTTGAGATGTTTATTAAGATAAACAGTAGGTTAAAAATCTGATTCCCAGAATTCACAGCCCAGAGATGACAAAGAATTTTTATCAAGCATTTCCTTCATGCATGTTTGAAAATAAGGGTTGAACCCTATCTCCTCTATCTTTTGGCAAGAGCACTGCTCTAATCTATATTTTGTGAGATTATAAATTAATTACTTGAAGAAAATATTCCAACCACTCCAACTAGAAAACAATTAGAGTGTGTGTGTGCGTGCATGTGTGTTTGGGATAATTAATTAGGCTTCAGATTGCCAAGGAAAAACGTGACAGAAACAGAAGGTATAACTGAGGGGCAAGAACTATTTAATAGCAAAACACAAACTTCATGAAAAATGCCTAAAAACTGCATTTATTGTCAAAACCCATAAAACCCACCAAGAGTGAACCTTAATGTAAACTGTGGACTTTGAGTGGTAATGACGTGTCAGTGCAGGTCCACAGATGGTTACAAATGCACTACTCTGGGACAGTATATGGACAGTGGGGGAGGTTATATTGTGTAGGGACAGAGGTATATGGGAACTCTATTTTTTGTTCAATTTTGCTACGAACCTAAAATGCTCTAAAAAATAAAGTTTATCAATTTTTACACATTTAATCATAATGGAATGCCTTTCATATAACTTTAGCCAGAGAAAACATTTATTCTAAGAGATCATTTTTGTCAGAGAAACAGAATACAATTATTGTAACTTTACTATACGGAATTTTTTCATTATAAAAGGATTTTAAATTACAGCAGCATTCCCCAAAGGCTAGTCTAATTGTATACAATGTGATTGAGGAAACCTTCATATAAATTAGGACTTCTCTTGTATATTATTTATTCAGTTTATAGTCATTATTGCGATTTTGTAAATTTGACACTTTTAAATCATATTTTCTTAACTATGGACAAAAGAGAATGCCTATTCAAAATATACTATTCATAGGTAATATTTAATAACACTAACTGCCAATCACGAAATTAGTGAGCAAGGTAAGGGCCATATCACGCAGCACTTGCACAAGTCAGAGCAAAGTGCTGGATTTTATGCAAAAAGGAAATTATTAACAAGGTGGTAACAAAAGTATTTTTTTCCAAGCACTCTGGTTACTAGGTAGAAAAAGCACTGTAGTGGGGGCATTAGAGGAAATAAGAGAATCAATTAGAATGCAACTATAATAACACGGATGTGGTACAGATAATTGTGACCTCCAAATATGTCACGTGCTGTCCTACTTTTCTCAGCCTCTCTTGCACTTAGGTTGGAGCCATGTGACTAGTTTTGGCCAATGGGCTGTGAACAAAAGTGACCAAGTCATCTCCAGTCCACCTGACAACGTTCAAACCACTAGTGCAGATAAGACAGCTCCAAGACGAAGGAGGACCACAGCCCAAACCACATTGTAATCCTTTGCTGGGTTCAACTACTGAGATTAGGAGGTTAATTTGTTACTCTAACAAGAGCCTGTTCTGACAAAAACACTGAATAAAAGATGAAAATGGCCTGGACTGGGAAGGGAGTGGGAGATAAAGAAGAGATGAAGATAAAAGGACTGATTCAAGGTTCATTTTAGAGTTGATAGGATTTGCAGAAGTACAGCATGGGAGTAAGTATGGGGAAATCAAAGATAATCTTAAACATTCTTTCATTAAATTTTATTTCAGTTGAAAAATTTCCCTATAACATTGCAATTTTGCTTGGTTATCAAACTGATGATTAGCCAATGGTCAAATATAATAAAAAGATAAATTTTATGGAGTTCATGTCATTGTACTTCTAGTTCAAATATTCTGATACTAAAATTAAGTTTACAAAAATCACTTATGTCCATACACTACATTAAATTATACTAACATAGAAAAATAGTAATATCAGATTAAATTTAAGTAAACTAAATAAAGCTGGGGCTTTGTGACATGTGAAATTAATTTTCCTACATTTTAATAGGAGTGAATAAAATCTGTTTGCTATGCTTAAAAGTGATAAGCATTTCCACCAAAAATGCTCCCTTGCCTGAAAACATGTTTTTCCTAAAAATAATTATAGTTGTAAACATCTTACAGATAAGCATATGGCTGTCTCACTCTAACAAGATTAACACCTGTTGTAGCCCAAAGACAAAACATGCTTTATGTAAACAACTTACATAACCAATGATGCAATGGCTTATCTAACTTAGAGTGTAACCAATCAGAACATAGCTGTGGCAACAACAAACCAGTAAGAATACGAGGCATACCCAGAGTATAAGCGTGGACTGCCAGGCCACTCAGAACATTGGCTCCCTGCACCTATCTGCGGTGTGTTGAACTGACCACAGACCACCACATGCTGATCACACAGTGGGGCTCCTACTTCCAGTAAAGATCAGGGCAGAGGCACCTATGAGTGGAACCTGGGCAGTGAGACCAGTCAGTCTCCAGAAAGCTGGCAAATGCCTTCAATCTCCACCCTTGCTTGTTTGCAGTCACCACTTAACTTGCTGAAGGAAGCAGGTACCAGCTGTGTAAACCAAGTGGTTTTCAGTAGTTTCTGTGGTACTACCTTCTTGTCAACATCACGGATCCACATCCCTGTATGACTGTGATGTGTATTTCCACAGAATGAGGCAGAGCTTTCTAAGATTACATCTTAAGTTACCAAGACTTAAAGAGGGACCTGTATAAATTTTTTGCCTTTAATGTAAAGATTTTGTTAGCTTACTAATAACAACGAATTAACTATGATAAAAAAATCAAAAAAGAAGATCCAATTGTGAAAAATGGCAATCTCAAGAAAAATAAGGTTTGTCCCAGGAAAAAGACATTAAATTAGTCCAAACTTCTCCACTAGTGTTTGCTAACCTAGGAAGAGCTTATACTTCCCTAGAATTTGATTCATTTAGACGAGGGGTTGGCAAACTTTTTCTGTAAAGAGGCAGATAGTAAATATTTTAGGCTTTGTGGGCCACATGGTCTCTTTAATAACTACTCAACTCTGCCATTATCGCTTTAAAGAACAGTCATAAATGAATGGATGTGACCGTGTTCCAATAAAACCTTGTTTACAGAAACAGGCAATGGGCCAGATTTGGTCCATGTGCCATAGTTTTCAACCCCTGATGTAAAGCACGTTTTCATATGCTTCCTATGCTTCTCAGGGGATTATGACTTCCCTGATGAAGTGTCTGTTCAAATCTTTTGCTCATATTTAATTGGGTTATCTTCTTATTGATACAAGACCCACGTCAGACTGTATGTATTGGAAATACTTACAGTTCCCAGTCTGCAGCTTGCCTTTCACTTTCCTAATGGTGTCTTTGGAGCAGCAAGAGTCTAATTTTGATGAAGCCCAATTTATCAAACTTTTCCTTAATGGATACTTCTTTTTATGTCCTAAGAAATCTTTGCCTAACACAAAGTCATAAAGATTTATTCACGTTTCTAAAATTTCAAGAAGTTTTAGTGTTTTAGTTTTTAGATCTATAATCCTATTCAAGTTAATTTCTGTGTATGGTGTGAAGTAAAAGCCCTGATTCAATTTCTTCTGAAAGATATCTAGACCTGATCACTTGTTAAAGATTCTATTATCCTTTAATAGAAAAAAAAACTATCCTTGAATAGATAAGATTATCTTTTTGAATATATATTTGAAATACTGTATTTATTATACATAGACACATATATATAGAATACATATATGTTGACATATAGATAGGATATCTAACTATGTCAACACCTTAACGCAATACCACACTATTATTGCAGTTTAGAGTAATTCTTAAAATCCAGTAGTGTAAATTCTCCAACTTTATTCTTTCTCAATATTGTTTTGACCATTTTAGATTTGAGAATTAGTTTGTCAATCTCTACCAAAAAAAAAAAAAAAAAAAGACAAAAAAGTAGCAGCATTTTTATTAGGATTGCACTGAACCTACAGATCTATGGGTGGAAAGTTAACACTTTAACACTGAATCTTCCAATCAATGTATAAGGTATTATTTCTCTATTTACATACTGTTAATTTTTCTCATCTATGTTTTGTACAGTTATTAAAATGTATCTCTATGTGTTTCATGTTTGTGGGTGCTAGTATAAAGCATCCATAAATTGTTTGGATGCTAGTATGTAACATCCATAAATTGTCTGGATGCTAGTATATAAAAATACAATTCATTTTTGTAGGGTGACATGACCCTGTTAAATTCATTTGGGAATTTTAGTAGCTTCCTCATAGAATCCTTAGGATTTTCTATGTATATTATCATGTCAACTGCAAATAAAAAGTTTTATTTATTTATTTTTAATCTGGATGCCTTTAACTATTTTTCTTACCTCACTGCACTGGCTAGGAATTCCAGTATAATGTTAATTATAAGCCTGTGAGTGGACATCTTTACCTTCTTTCTGATCTTATGGAGAACGCATTCAGTC